CCCCAGTATTGGCCACCCCCTTCCAAGGGCGCGCCCACCCCCCCATCTGCCGTTTTCCTTTCGATCCGGGACGGGGGAGATGAAAGGAAACCCCTGACTCCAACAGAAACACACACACACACACACACACAATAGGCGATTATTTATTTGTTTTTAATTTATTTTGTCATATTTTTGTAAAACGGCAGAAATGCAATAAAAAGTATATTTCAACAGTGCCCGAGGTCGGAGCGGTGGAAGGGGGTTCGGGGTGGGTGCCCTTCCCGCCTGCCACGTGCTATTTTTGACCCTGGGTCTTGGGGCCATGGGTCGAAAACTCCAAGCGGTGCCACTGCCTCTGGGTGGCCGGCCCAGGTTTGCAGGCTGACCTCAGGCCCCGGAGGCCCTGGGAGTGGCTGCAGGACCTCTGGCCCTGGCTTCAGCCATCCAGACAAAGGAGGAGGTCTCTGAGTGTTGAAAAGATTCAGCACTTGGGGTGCCAGGCCTGAATCGTGAATCGGGCTCAGCCTTAAAGGGGACAGGGGGGTGACAGTCTTAACTGTGCAGCCGGGTAGGAAGCTTGGAAGAGTTGGCATTTTTGCATGCCCACCTCCGGTGATGCCTGAGAGCCAGGGGTGCTGGGGAAAACTTGGGGTGTGAGCTTTGAAGGCACCTGGACTCCTCATGGTCCCCGAGTTGCATTAAAGAGGGACATTCGGGGATGTCCCCCGCACAGGCACGGGGCGGTATGGGGGATGTCCCAGTATGGGACAGACGGCAGACCCGAGTCACTGAGACTCACTGCTGGGTGACAGGGAGGGGAACGCGGCCTAAGAGCCCCCCAGCTCTTCTGGAAGAAGAAGACAAGCCGTCTACACCCTCGGACTAAGGACTCAGAGTGGGAGGTGGCCACACCTCAGGGCTGGGCCAGGGGTGGGCTGGGGGAGCCCAGAGCTAGGAAGGGGCACTTGGACAGGGCTGGGGAAAAGTTGGGGTTCCTCAGAGGCAGGACAGTCTGTGTGAAGGTAGATAGGTGTGGGAAGGCTAAGGTTTAGGAGACCCCCCAAAACAGGAGGGGTGGGCAGAGGCCGGCTCAGGGGCCTGGGCTCCCTGTCCCAGGCAGTGGGAGCCATGGGGCCGTGTGCAGGGGCAGGACGCGACAAGCCAAGAGTTCTGCAGAGACCAGGCCATGCACACCCCCCTACGGGGAGCTGAGGCAGGAGAGGGCGGCTGCACTGGCTTAGCCGACACAGGGAACCCCAAGCAGGAAACACAGCCCTGCCACTCCAAGGGGAGCAGGGGGTTGGGGGTGCCACCTGCTCCTGGATTGTCCCATCTCGGTCCCTAACGAGCCTGCCCAGGGTCACACTGACCCCCAGGACTGGGCTTTCTTGCTGGTCTCAGAGCCTGGGGGACCTCAGTCTGTGGTCAAGCTCGTATTCCCCAAACACCTGCCCTGTGACTGCGGGGACGCTATGCTACCGGGCCTGTGGTGTAGACGTCACCATAGCTGGAAGGCAAAACCCCTGAGCCCCACTGCACAGGTGGGTGGCCACACTGGACTGAGGCTGGTCAGACTCTGTGTCCGACAGGAGCCCACCCTGGCGCCATCCACCCCCAGGGGAGCTGGGCAGCCCTGTCCCCCCTCCCCCCGCGTCTCCGCGAGCCCATGGCCCAACACCTCCCCCCCCA